CACTCCACTTTTGTACACCAACTTTGTAGGAGTAGAATTATTCATTATTTTCTAACATAACACATCAGTCTGTCTCGTCAATTCCTATTTTTCAATCTAGTTAAGTAACTTTATTGCAAAAAATATTAATGCTAAGCTCCTATTTGATGAAAATTAAAATTAAATTTTTTCTAAATTTTGATAAAAGTATATGAAATATATGATTAAAAAATTGTGAAATTTATAAAATATATAGTTAAAATTAATTATTAATTTTGACTCAAAGTAAAAATTTGATTATTGACATTGACTTGAATCAGTATCAAACAGCAGCTAAATATCATTGGTGCTACACGAGATTATTATTTCTCTCAGAGTCAAAAAGTACAGCAAAGTGAAAGTTGAAACAGAAGTTTTTGCCATTAAAGTAGCACTATGGAATATATGTCCTTTCAACAGTTCAAAGAAGATAAGATCATTTTCCATAAATTCAAACTATAGTTTGCGTCAATTTCATAAGCAAAAGCCCAAATTCACAATCAATCAGCACCAGTAGGTCATATTACCATTACTATAAAGTTTAGAATCATAAACTTTATCCAAGCACAAGAACTTGCTCGACTGAGTCACTGGCAGACAATACATTTACAGCTCAAAATACGCGAATAAAAATGAGAAAGAAAAAGATGGGAGCATCAGAATAGTATCTACAGTCATTCAAATTCTATGTACAACCAGTAATCAAGACCTTGTACTCCATCCAAAATGAGAATCACAAGCAACCAGCATTGGATCCAGAACGATGAGAGGCAACTTCTTAATGTACATGAAAAGCCTCTTCAGATTTTCTCTTCGAATTGCAGATAATTCAATGATATCACAGCTGCTTGTGTAGATCCAAAGCTCGCCAGAATTTACTCTTTTGAGGTTATCCCGACAGAATGGGCAAGATTGAGACCGTGCACGCCTGAAGAAACCGTTAAGTTTAACGCATGATAAATCATCCAAGAACATGATAAACATAGAGTGAACAGATCGTTAAATCTTGCATCCATCAATATGATCATCCATAGAGTCATCAGGACATGATAGTTCAAACATGATAATTATTCTGTATTTAGTTGCACAAACATGTAGTTCAATTTATTTTCTTTATTTTTCTGCAATGATTCTTATGCCAGAAATCCTGTTAAATACGTCGAACCACCAGTCTAGGTCAATCTACCATAAAATGGAGAATAGGGCGGTAGGTGTGTTATCTAAACGAAAAGTTATATTACCATATGAGCTAATTCTTCATCAACCTGGTGAATGCTTATTGGGTGAGAAAAGACAAATATGTTTCAGAACCAATGATCCAGAATATACATCTTTCTAAATGACCCTTTAATTCTTTAGTATCCAACAAGAAAAACAAAGAAATAAAAAGACTCGGATCTTGGCATAAAATAAGGCACTATCTAAATCAAATAAGCTGTTTTAATACACCTCCATCTCTAATTAGAAATTGGATGGAAATTTTCGTCGTTTTAAATAGCGTTGAAAACTAAACAAAAATGAGAATATGATCATTAAAAAGTATATGGAGGGCAAGTAATGTACTTCACATATTTTGAACAGAAAAGAAGATTATGGAAGAAACAGGTAAGTCTACATACCAGTTCCTATAGCACTTCATACACATGGAGTGATTGCAACTGGGAAGGACAACCTTGGTATTCATTTCCATGCAAATTCCACATTCTTCTTCTCTTTCAATATTGATTTCAGACAGCTTACCCTTGTTCATCTCATTCGCTCTTCTGTATTTAGTTGCACAAATCTCTCTCTGTTTCCGATCTTCAACTTCAGAAATACCTCTATGAAGTTGCAATAAAGAGGGGAATATCACACCTATCCAATGCCATTCATTATGAGATCTCATCATGTTAGAGAGTAACCATTTCACTGGACATTCTACATAGAAATTATAAGCATTTATCAAGCATAGTGACCCTAGCAAGAGGTTATTTTTGAACTCCAATATTTTCAAAGTTCAGATTCTCATTTAATGAATGGTTTTCAGGATTGGAAGAGGGCGAGCGAAACTTGAAAGTCTACTCACCATAGAACTCCCTTATACTAGCTTTCCTTTCATGAAGACACATGGTAGTCTTACCATCCTCAAAAACCTACAATTCCCTCGACCTCATCAATTTTCACTGACCACAACAGAGTGCAATTTTTTGAGCAAAATGCAAAGTACACAACGCATAAAAGAAAGTAAAATCACCTTGTAAATAAGGATTCTAATTAACCCAAGTGCACCAGCAAGGTGACAATCAGTCCACTGGACGAGGAACAGAAACACGTGGGCACAGGGGCTGTATGATAGTCTCATTTGAAGGCAAGCACCATCATATTCCCTTGGATAATCCGAAGCCCTGTATCTCAAGAAAATTATTAATTGCATCGAGGCTCGGAAATATATATCAAATCAGTTCTGAATTCCTTTGTCCCTTCTACAGAAGATTTAGGGGCCATGATATAATGTTTGATAACGCAAAATGTACAATACATACAATTCACAAGCCTTTCTGTTAAGGCTCTAATTTCTAACTCCAAATAGAAAGACGCATCAGAAAATGGATAGAGTCTTTAGATACTCTGATTGTGTTTTCTTTTCCATTTCTAACTTAAAAAAAAAATAAAAATAAAAATGAGGGTAGCCCACAAAAACTCAGCTATTGATCATGCCCCTATCATTAAACACACGCACAGGTAAACCCCCTTGTGTATAATTGGAAACATATGAAATTTTTATGTGAACTCCAATACCTTACAGAATCTCATCAGAAAGGAGATATAAACTCATTAAATTTGTAAAATATCTACAAAAAAATACAAAATTTCAGCATGAATTTCTGAAACAGTGCTCACAAAATTCCCAAAAAAAAAAAAAAAAAAGTTAAA